TATTTTTAGTTAGGAGGACTCGTGTATGTTTATGTTCCATTTGTTTTGCTTTTTGTGTATCGTTCTCTGTAAAAATGCTGAGTCACCGGAAGTTAACAGCATTCGTTCTGTTTTTTGCGGTGATACTTTCGGACATTTGAGTAGCCGGCAGTAACTTCCGGCTGGGTGCGATAAGCCTTAAACAAATATGCATCAACAGGTATGTACCAATGAAGACAAGTTTGAAAATGCTTTCTAGCAGTTTGCCAACTTCAACAGCTCTAGATTTTATGATGATGCAATGAATTCACTGTTAGGTCTATTAGCATCATTATATCAATTCTAATGATATTTACTTTTAATAATTGTTTTCAGAGTTATTATGATGCTTTCAAATTTGTGATTGGAAATGGTCACTTTTGTTCTAAACTTATATTTCAAGATGGGGAAAAGTTAATTAAAATAAACATTTTCTTTTCCTTTTTAATCTGTAGGTTTTAAGAAAAAAATACCCTGAACAAATTTGGTATTTCATTAAAAGACTTTTCCCAATATTTTTTTCTATTTGCACAAATTCCTGTGTGAGTAATTTTATTAAGCACTTGGTTAATGAAAACCCAAAGTAGTTTTTTTTTTCCATATTTTTATGAAGCAGCTAAGTTCCCTTTGAAATTTAATTAGTTGAATCCTGAAAAATGATTTCAATTTTGATTCTGCTTCAAGAAGGAAATGAAAGTCGATGCAACAATATCATGAAAAAAGAAAAAAAAAAAAAAAAAAAATGCTGTCAAATTTTTCTACAAACCAAATTTCACATTAAGCAATGTCAACTGTTACTGCTTGACATTTCATATATATTTTATGTAGGAGATTACTAATAAATATAATAAAAATTTTAATGTATATACTATAGTAAAAAATATGTAAATTACAAATATTATATTTATATATCCGATAATTATTCACACATAAAACGCCCCCCCCACACACACACCAATATTCTAAAGTTCGGGTGTGCATTATGCATAATTAAATATTAATGTTTTCCCACTACCATCATACTGTTGCCATATTTGGGATGGTGTAACCAAAAAGTAAGTTATATCTATGGCTCAAACTAATAAGTATATTGTATTCTTTCTCTGTGGCCTGTGTCAAAAAGGAAGTGAGCTTCATTGCTGTTCAGTGCATTCATGATGCAGTATCTTTTTAAATGACTTTGTTATGATCATTTCAGGAATGCTCTTATAGAATACAAAAATATCATGGTTTGTTTGAAGGAGTCATTGATTCCACTTGTTGCAAACAATCAATTGGAATCACTGATGCCCACTGATTGAAAAATACAAGTCATCTCACCAGAAATGATGGCAAGATCAATTTAAAATTGAGTCCAGTTGCACGTCAATCTGTTAATGGCATCTGAATGCATCAGCAAAAAAGATGGATGTTTTAGTAAGTGGTGTTGATATTTCATTCACACAGCATCCCTGTATCTAACTCTTCCCATGAAGACACACACCCATCTATTCCTTTTGAAAATGTCTTTGTGGATAATATTTTTATCTGAAAGACAACATATAGCGGCAGCTTTATTCTATCACCAGTGACACTTATTCCCATCAGTGTGATTTCCAGTGCTTTGAAATATGTCAGTTGTGCTAATTCCAACACAACAAATTACACAGCAATTATTTCAATTAACTGCATTATTTTTTTTTTTTTTTTTTAATAAATCGAGATTACCCAAAGCAAGGCTGTAGAGCCACTAAGACATAAGGATATACTGGGTGTGAAAAAAATAGAAAACTGAAACATTACTAAGGAGTGAGAACAAAAGAGCAATCAGATAGCGACTGACATGGCATTTAAGTTTAAGCTGGAAAGTATGGAGCTGGAAAATATGGAGCCAGAAGAAAGTTCCACAAAAAAAAAAAACTTAACATAGAACTTGGTTATATCTAGCCATCTCAACTGTAAATTGAGGAGACTTCATCACCAGTCTAGTACTGCACTTAAAAAAAAATCTAGGTACCATAGTGAAAAGCTCAATTGAACAATTACCATGAATGTATTTACAGAAAAAGAATGGAGTCAACTTTACAGCAGTGGGAAAGTGACTAAAGCAAAGATGCCAGATCAGGACCAATAATATTGCTGATTCTTTGGATTTTATCAAGGAGCTCTAGATAAAATGCAGGAGCACCAGACCATATGTGGCAGCAATATTCTAAGCCTGGATGAATGGTAGACTTATACTTAGGTTCTGGATAGAAAAATTGTCAAGTAATAACACACAACAAAGTGAACAAACTTCTTTAGCAGCTGACCTGGCAATGGATTCAATATAGTTTTTCCACTTCATATCAGCTGAAAACATTAGCCCATGAAGGCGCAACAAGTCACTATTGGAGGTTAGCTTCAGCCATGCTGATAGAAGACAAAAAGAAGTCTCTCAGATGATTAATAGAGAGCAGTTTAGTTTTGAAGGTATTAAAATTGACAAGCCATTCTTTGCCCCAGTTAACAACAGGCTGAAGGTCATTTTGGACATCAGCTGACAATTTGACTATCAAATTGATCAGACTATCAAAGACAGAGCTGAGGTCATTGGTAAGGTAGTTAATGAAAATTTAAAAAAAAGTAGGTCCAAGAATAGAGCCCTGGGGAACACCTGCATTAGTACAAAATGATATAGATCAGTGGTCATTCAGGATAACTTTCATTTCACGATTTGATAAGAAAGACTGGATCAGTTCAAAAATTTGTTCAGAGACACTGTAACATTTCAGCTTGTGGAGAAGACTGGTATGCCAAACCCTGTCAAAAGCTTTTGAGATATCCAAAGCTACAGCCCGAGCTTCACCATTATCTACAGCTTGGAAGACGCTTTCTGTAATTATCAGTACATCAGCAGTTGACCTGAGAAACAAAAGCCATATTGCTTGTCTGAAAAAAGGCCCTGTGATGCGAGATGCTTAACCAATTCATCATTGATTAGTGCCTCTAGAAGTTTGCCAAAAAGAAGTAGAAGGCTAATAGAAGTTGGAAGGGTCAGAGAGCACACCAGAGTTCTTAAAAACTAGAACAGATGAGGACTTCAAGCAGACAGGAAAGCAAGAAGCAGCGAGGCATTTATTATATACTTTAGAGAGAACAGGAGGTAGTTCAAGAGCACACTTCTTATTACAGGGATACCATCAGGTTCACATCCAAGTTAGAGATAATAGCAGAAGCCATAGAAGGGGTTATACACATATCACTAAACAGAGACTTAGTTCTAAGTGGGAAGTTATGCAGGGATACTCCAGATGAGCCAAGAGTAGAATTTAAGGAGAATTTTCAGGCAAAAGCTTTATGTTAACACCCCAAATTGGTTGAAGAGAGGAGGAATGGAAAACTTACACTAATTTAATACACTATTACAGAGCCACTAGTAATCACAAGAGCCAAAGTTGTTAGAAGCAATTTGGTACCTAATCTCTTGGCAAACAGACTTAGCTCAAACTTCAAGAATGCAATTTTCAATTTCAAGGTTAAAAATTTCAGTCCAGGAAGTGTCTCAAAGAAAGTCAATGAGTGAGTCCCAATTTACATGCTTGTAGCAGAAAGAGGTCTTATGAATAGAAAGTACCTGTTCAATAGTTGATTGGAATAAAATGTCAATAGATATTACAGAGCAACCAGAGTTTCAAGAAGGACAGTGTTGTGAGTCTAGGCAAGAAATAAATAAAGAAGTCTGTTGCATGAATCTGCTAGGGAAACAAGTCGGAAAACCCATGATTTGAGTAAAGGATTGAGCAATGGAAAAATTTAATGTCACACATTGGTAACTTTAGAATGTTTAAGCCATGTGTCTCAATGCACATTAAAATCACCAAAAACAAAGATGTTGAGAGAGAGAGATCTATGCTGTAAGAGATTATGTCTAATATACTGCAGTCCTGAGAAGAGGGGAAGTGGTAAAGGAAAAAGAGATAGCTAACAGAGTATAATAATGAAAGTCAAAAGCACATGAAAGACTTGTCTGCAGAATCTAGTGACAATTCTCTTGCTATTGGAAGATTTTATTGGATATAAACACCAAGGCTGTACATGTAAATGCCAGAATCTTTTCAACAGAAAGGAAGACAGCCTGGAACAGAGAATTCACTGGTAGCACTGAAAGAATTTAAGTTAGTTTCACAAAGTGTAATGCTATCCAGTTCTAAGAGAAAAGATTCTATACTGCTGAAATTGGATTGGGTACCATGAACATTGGAGAAAGAAAAGTTGAGGGGGTGTAAGTGGTTTTTTGTTTACTGGTTTTCTTATATCATCTCATTAAGTCCAACATAATTATCACTGTTTTCAATGGCAATACAAACTAGCCAAAGCATGGCTGAGATCATAGTATAATGTGACCTCAGGGTTACCCACCAGAAATACATGCAAGGACCTATTCATGTACAACATGGTAGTACAAATTAAGAAAAATATATCTTTTTTTTTTTTTTTAATAGCACTTTTTTTATAACAGATGACCAACTAGTCTTCTTTAACTCTTTCATTTGAATTGTACATAACTTTATAAATGCATCAGGTTAATTCAGTTTAAAACCAGTATTTAATTGGGCAGTTGGAATTAACTTCTAATGTTATTTACAGAAATATATTGTTATCTGCAGCAAAAGTATCAAATGATTATTTTACTACATTTGTTAACTTAAATCACAGGATGGCATTTAAATACAATAGATAGACAAAGTAACAAAAACCCAAAAGGACAGTTTTTAAAAAGGTTTATTTTTTGTAACCAACTATTTTTTTAAATATATTTCAAGAAAAGTATCCTATGCTTTGATCTTAAAGCCTTAACTGTGAAAAGAAAAAGAAAGAGCCTTAAAAAGACATTTAAGCTTTTATTTAACATTTTTAAAATCTTTGTCAAACAGCACTTGGACAATTTACATCTTATTTACAAGTGGGTGTAAAAATTGAACTTTTAGATACATTTACAAAATGAAAGCATAAATTCTTACCTTGTACTAAGTTCAAAAGGATCGAAGTATGGCATAATGAAAAGATAAATATAGAAAACTTTGAAAGAAACATTCTGAAAAAGAAAAAAAAATTCGTGATAGATAGATAGATAGATAACTGCAAAAGTAAAGGCAAAAAATTTAAAATAAAATTTTACTATTATGAAGTACATTTTTTTTTTTTTTTTTAATCCAAAATGTAGCCATTTACTTGAACTAAGAAAGTTGAAAATGTGACCTGGCTTCTTTGAAGTAACTTAAAACCATTTAGCAATATTTATAAAAGGGTACTGAAAAGTTTTCAATTTTCTTACTAAGAATCAGTATTCTTAAACTTTGTTATTAAAATATTGAACTTGGGAAATGGGTTGGACTGAGAACTTTTCAGCATTATTCACACAACTGTATAAAAATTTCAATTAAAACAAACTTAATATTTTTGTTAAAGTCAAAACAAGAACATTTAAAAAGCAGTAAAATAAAGTTTACCTGCAAAACAAGTGTAAATATTTAATAAATGATTCTTTTGTAAGCCTTCTAGCTTAAAAGATTTTAATTAAAGTTCCATAATATACAGAAAAAAAAAAAAAAAAAAAAAAAAAAAATCAACCAAAAACGATAAGTTATAAATAAGAGTTTCACAATTTTCAAATTTGTGTAATTGTGCTTTATTTAAGTGTTACAAGTGGAGAGCGGGATAAAAAATATTTGCATGATGAAATTTATTTTCCCTTTTAGTTTTATGAGTCATAACACAAGTAGTAATATTCAGAGTAATATATTTAGCATACAACTATAGAACTCTCAACATCTTACGAAGAATTTTGTGGTGTATTCAGTAATAAATTTAATTCACAAGTCAATGAAATTGTCCAGATCTTTAGGTTAAAAATGTAATAGTTAAAATAAGAAATTTTAAAAAGATAAAGTTAAAATATCAGATTAATTGACCATTTAAATTTTTCCCAAATTGGTTTTAAGGTATCTACACTCAAATTCGCTACATCAGCAACCATCTATAAGTAACTAATCACACTAGTTCAGATTCCAATGAGTAAAAGTAATTGTTGATATTAGGTACCATTATGGACTTTAAAGAAAAAAAAAAAATGCAAAAATTTAAATCTTCTTTGAAGTTGAATTTTGCTTTTATTTGAAAAATAATAGCCTAAAGCTTTTTTAAAAAAGTACACAAAAAGATTTTAAAATATTTTTAAATACAGAGGACCAACACCACAACAATCAAGAAATTGGTATTATTTATTTAAAAAATAAATTATTTTTAACTATAATTTTTATTTTATATGCTTTTGTGAAACTTAACAGAATGAATTATTTTATTTTTTATGCTACATTAGAAGTATTAACAAATTAAAAACTAATGAAATCATACTTTTGAGTTTAATTCTTTTTTTTTTTTTTTTTTTTAAATATTTTCTTACATATTTGATATCATAAAATATTTAATTGCACCCAATGAAATCTTTAATTCTGATTTTTAAAAGAATTTATTAAACTAACAAAATTTCTACTATAAAAAAATAAATAAAAAATTAATGAATATTAAAAAGATGGGACAATCTCACAAACAAATTAGACTACCAAATCAAGCTTCCATATTGATAAAGAGTTATTAAATTGATAGTATAAATAGGCTGCTTTCACTTTGATTTTTCAGACTTAATTGCCATAAAAATACCACCAAAATCATGCAAACTTTGAAAATGCTACCATCAGATTTTTTTTTAAAAATTAAGAATAATCAGTGAATAGTTATATCTCCAATTTTCAGCACTTATTTATTGGTGAACAGAGTTTACATTCAGGCTATTTTTTTTAGAAAACTTTGTAGAAATAAAATTTTCAGGTTAGTAACAACCCACTTTAATTATTCAATAGCATTCAAGTGATGTCTTTGTTTTTAATTTGCCTCTAAATTATTATAATCCTAATGAAGAAATTTATTAAACAAAAAAGTGATTTCACAAGATGAGAGACAAAGAAATTTTGTTAGCCCAGCAAAGAAGCATTTACACAGATAAATAAATGCCACAACATAGCTACCTTTAACACTACCAAGTCACCTCCGTGGATACTTGACAAACCTCATATAGATCTAACACTAACTCAACACAACAAAAATGCTACAAATAACAAATAGAAGCAAGTATGCTGACCAAAATATAAATATTGGAAACAAATTTAGACTACCAAATCAAGCTTCCATATTTACAGTTGAGCTGCAGGCAATTAAGATAACACTAACTCATGAAAAACTCAAATAACCAGAAATTCATCATATTTATAAGCTCTTTGTAAAGTCTTGTAGTTCTGAAAGAAAGTTCAAACATCCATACATTTTAGATAAACATTTACTGAAATAGCTAAATCACAAAAATCAGTCATCTTAGTATGGATTCCAAGTTATGTTGGTATACTAAACAAGGAAATAGCAGAAAAACCAGCTCAACATGCTTTTAACATAACCATCAGTACCCCATACAGACTTCAGAAACAAAATAACATATCAAAAGAAAAAATGGCAAGCAATATAGGACTCAAAACCTAACTATAGGAAAATGGCTTCCAGAAAAATTATTTATTGGGCCTTAAATAATCCTACAGTACTTGAAGGGCTGTTAAGCAGAAACAAACCTCATAGCAGTCAAAGCACATTAATATCTCCTTTTTGAGAAAAAAAAAAAAAAAAAAAAAAAAAAAAAATCCAACAGTTGTAAAAATGAAAAATAAAATAAATTCTTTTAAAATAAACGATGTTCACTGAAACATTAAACTACATTTTTTTGATTCTTCAAACATACCTTTATTTAATAATAATAATAATAATAATATGAACAGCAACACAATCATTTTTAAAACTGCACTGAAAAATTACAGGCAAATAAATAAAAAAATATTAAGTATAGATTTTCTTTCATGTTAAATCAGAAAAATGTTTTATTACATTACAAGTACAAACTAATATTTTTGGGGTATTATTGAATTATTTTTGGTGAGATCCAGGATTAATTCTTACTATGTTCAAAATACCACAATTTTTTTTTCACGAAAACAACATATTTTGAAGATTTTTCTTTAAATAACAGTATTTAAAAAAAAAAAAAAAAAAAAAAAAAAGAAATATATATACAGTTACAGAAGCAATTTAGTTCTCTGGAAATAGTATTTATATGATTTTTTTTGGGAGGGGGGTATTTGAATCCATCAGAAGTACTTTTTTCATTAATTAAGTAAAATTATCCTATACCAGATTTGTAACTTTATTTTTAGTTAGAGAATTAGATTGATTAGACATTTTTCATCATTACCACTTGGATTGTATTCTTAAAGCATGAAAGAGAAAAGATAATTCAATTTTATACTCTAGGTGGGCACTGAAAAGTTCAGAACAGAAAAAAAAAAAAAAATGTTCCGTTTGATCATTTGGTCAGATTTTGGGAAGTGAATTGAGCTGAGAATAAGCAATAAATAGAAAAATTAAAAATGCTTAACTTACATATCAGTGATAATAGGAGGCAATAGTGGTTGTTATATCTGGAATTTCAAAATTAGAAGGCTTTCCAATTTAAAAATAAATCTGCTCAAATACAAAATTTTAAATCTGAGGAAAATGTTTCGTTCCCTCAAATTATTTTTCTGGAAAATTATATTGTGTGCAGAATTAAAAACTCAGCATGACATGAAAATTAATTATATTTTTCCTTTGAAGAAAATGTAGAAGATTGACAAGTTGTACTAAAAATGAACACACTGAATATTTTTTTTTTAAAAAACCCAGGAAGTGAAAATGTTATAGAGATACAAAATTCTTTTTTACTGTGTTAGGGAATTAAAACTAATATATCAAGTAACATCCCACATATAGAATATTTTAAGTGTTTTTGTTTCCTAAGGATGTTCTCATAAAGGAAATCTCAAAATCACACAAGAACTTGATATTTAACAAAGTAAAATGTAATATTCATTCCAGAAGGAACAGGAGATTTAGAATAAGTCAACTATAAAGGCTTTAACATTAAAAAAAATTATTTTTTGTCATGCATGGAGCTTCCATAGTACAAAAAATAATTTGAAGACAGCCAAACAATGCTTATTCAAAGCAAGCTTTTAATAACTTGGCTATTAATATGGATTTGAAATATCAATTTGAAGTTAACCATAGTATATTGATGCTGCAATAAGTAATCATCTTACAAATAATCATGTTTATATATATATATATATATATATATATATATATATATATATATAATCAGATATGTTTAAAAAAACCAAAAAAACTATGTTAAATACTTTTTCAGTATTTATCTCCAAAAATTTGCTTAAGAAAAAAAAAAAAAAAAAAAAAAAAAAAAAAAGAGAAGAGGAGAGAGAAGAATACATGATAAAAACAAAAGCAAAATTTCATTGTCAAAATCTTTGTGATTTTAAGAGGGAAGATCAAAGGATTTTTCATATAAAATGTATTTTTTTTTTTTTAAATCCTTTTTGGTACCTCGAAAAGGTGAGCATCTTTTTGCATTGAGGAATATGCATTTTAAAACTTGTAAAAATCAGATAATTGTCGGATTTTAATGAAATAAGAAATGAATTAAATTATTTTTGAAAGCTTTTTTCTTTTTAGATATCTTTGCAAATATATATGAAATTATACAATTATTTAATATTTTCTGTTTATACATTATTTTTATAGATAATTTATTTCTCAAATATTCAGGCTGTTAATGTAATTAATACTGTTTAATTAAAAAACAGAGCATTTGCTTATCTATAAAAATATCTTATAAACAGAAAAAAAAATTATTATATAAATTTTTATACATGTTACCCTCTACTCATTTAATTTTATAAAATTGAGTTTCTTTTTTGCATTGCTTAATGTTTATATTAGTAATTAGTTAAAAGAATTTAATTCAAATATTTTTTGGTCAAACCGGATTCAGTTACAAAAATCTGCTTTGAATCATAAAATAAAAATGCAATAAAACTAATGACTTCTACCAAAAACATGATACCTAAGGTGTAAAATGAATTTTTAAAAGTGAAAAAAATCTTTCTTGAAGCTTTTATTTTAGTCTTAATTTCAAACTTAATATTTTCAGTAAGCAAAATACTTTGCGGTATTTCAAAAACTAATTTAGACTGGAAAGAAATTTTTTTTTTGCTAAAATACCCGATTAGTGCCCTTTTTGAGCCATCTTTCATCACAATGTAATTCTCTTTATTAAAAAAAAAATTCCCAAAAA